AAAAAAGAAGGTTTTTATGAATCTGTAAGATGTACTTCACTTCTATCAGCATGCCTAATATGTCTGTGTATTTATGTGTTGTGTACACAGTGTTTCACTACGAAAAATACATAAAAGATCTCTACCTAATTAACTCAAAGACAAATAAAAGCACTTAAGTACTTTATTGGAAAAAAGGAAAGACTAGTGAAATACTCTTTCAAATTGACATAACTTAAGTAAAATCTTTAATAAATTATCTAGCTTTATAATTATTGGTAAAGTAATATTAGAAATGTCTTAAGAATTGCCAGCATATATTTTTGATTTGCAATTATTCATCAAGCAATTTCATACTTACCCCTGCCAAATACTGTAAGTTGTCAAAATTTGGCAGAGGGTTTATAAGACTATAAACCCAGCCCAAAACAGAATGATCTTTGCTTGTGTAATCTTTAATAAATAAAACATTGGTATTGGTTTAATGAATATAGCTGCATCTTGATTTAGAAATATTATCATTAACTTCTAATTTTGTGGCTTTAGGCAGTCTAGTGCACAGGCAGTAAGGAAATTTGTTTTAGGAAAGACTATTGTCTTTGTTTCAAAGATAAACTGTAAGTTCCTCCCAAAGTTCAGAAATGAACAAGGACAGCCTGGAGGTTAGATGCAAGATGGAGTCAGTTAGATCAATTCTTTTTCACTGTCTCAGCTTTAATTTTGCAATGATGGTTTTATAACTTGAAATCATGACTATCGCAGTTTTCATAAATAATCTAGGTAAACAATTCAGATAATTAGGTAAATGTAATGGATAAATACTTCTAGACAAATTGTCAAAATTCAGAATACAAAGTTATATTAAATAATAGATATTTCATTATTAGGTATTTTCCAATAAAAGTATATTGTAGGAAACTATTCTTGCTAAAAAAAAAAAGTGTGTCCTTTTTTAAAAAAATTGGTGAACAAGTTTTACCTAATTTAAAGTTTAGTTAAAGGTTATATATAAAACAAAGCAAAGGAACCAGAAAATAACAGAGATGTAAAGAAAGTTATAAAAATAAAGAGGTATTTTTTGTGGTAAGAAAACTTAAAGACAAATAACTTTATGTGAGAAAGAATCTTGTAAGATAATTTTAGTCCTAAAATACAATGACTGGTTTTTTAAGAAAGAGGGTGTTTAGGCCAAAAGAGAAAGTCCAGGCATGTCATGAATGACCTGTGTAAGTCACAATAAGAGGATTTATTTAAAAAAAAATTTTATATGATCAAGTTGTTTATAAGTAATGGGTAATTATAGTGGTCTTTCTAGAGATTAAGCTTGATGTAAAAAAATCACTTATACACTAAATAGTTGGTAAGAACAATGAAATTTTCTTAAGGGGTTGATTTACTCTTAACAAATTATAACAGATTTTGATTTTTTTAACCAAAACTTTAACTTTTATTGCATCTCACCAGTTTTTGGCTTTTAAAAGGCACACATTCTTAAAGGTCTAATGAAATGTTTTTTTCCAGCATAATATTCTGTGCACTGCAGAAGTTCTGTTCTTTTGCCTTTCAGTAAATGACCTAACAGATTTAACATTTTATTGAAATAATTCCTATGCCATTATTGTTAAGTTTGGTTTGCTTAGGAAAAGGATGATATTTACATTTTTTAAAGTTATTACATTTGTGTGTCTTCCTGTATGTGCTTTTAAAGTTCTTGTGACATTGAGTTACAGGGCTTTGACTCCTGGGTCTAAAAAGACACCAAGTCCTGCTAAGTTTTTAAACACTGACAGCAATTAAAGCCCCATCTTTGGGCCCAGTAGAAGATGGTAATAAAAACCAACTGCACCCCTGAAACAGAGAGACAGAAATTAAAGTTATTCAACTTCTCAAGGCCCAGGGACTATCTCCATTGAGGTGGGTGCATGGATGCTAAGGGCTGATTTTAAAGATAAAATAAGTTCAGTTTCTCTATAAATTAATCATTAATGTTGAAGGCACACTGAAGCAAGACAAGCATAGGGGCCCCTGAGTCAAATTAATAAGGTTTTCTTGAAGCATTAACTAACTCCTAAATAAAGATTACAAAGGTTATGAAGGGCGTATCTTATGACCAAGATTAAAAATTTATAATTTTTAAATAAAATTTTGAAAAAGAAATTTAATTGGCCTCTTGTATACCTATCCAAGATTAAGCATGTTTCCTTTTTTTTTTTTTTTTTTTTTTTAAGACAGAGCCTTGCTCTGTCACGTGGGCTGGAGTGCAGTGGCAGGCTCTTGGCTCACTGCATCCTCCATCTCATGGGTTCAAGCAGTTCTGTGCCTCAGCCTCCCAAATAGCTGGGATTATAGGTGCCCACCACCACGCCCAGCTAATTTTTTTGTATTTTTAGTAGAGATGAGGTTTCACCATATTGGCCAGGCTAGTCTTGATCTCCTGACCTCGTGATCCACCTGCCTCAGCCTCCCAAAGTGCTGGGATTATAGGTGTGAGCCACCGCGCCCGGCCAAGCCTGTTTCTGATGAGTCCCCACAGGCACCTGAGAAAGACACCCAGCTGCATAAATAGAACGAAGGCTCTGATCTCAGCTATAGCTGGTAAACCATTAAAAGCGCCCTCTGAGTCTCACGTGGTTATTTCCTCCTCGGACCTTTGATAGCTGCCTGGTTATTATTAATCATTGGTCCTTGCTTGTTTATCTTCTTGGCAGTTTGTGTTTTCTAGATTACGGTAGGAAACGTCCCAAAGGCCATGAAACACTGGCAGATATTAAGCTAGGGTGTGGGGATTCGAGCTCTGCCCTTTTTTCTTTTTTGCTTTTCTATCATTTGTAAAGATGAGGCGAAGTGGGAAGACGGGGAGGTGCAGGTTCCTGCCCAGATAGAGCTGTGCGGGTTCCTGTCCAGGCGGAGCTGTGCGGGTTCCTGTCCAGGCGGAGCTGTGCGGGTTCCTGTCCAGGCGGAGCTGTTCGGGTTCCAGTCTAGGCGGAGCTGTGGGGCCCTGAGCGCGGGGGCGGCCTCTGCAGCCTGAGTGCACCGGGCTGGGCCTGCACTGTTGCTCACTGCTGCTGCAGGTGGCCCTTCCTGGCTGGTCCTTGCCCTTGGAGAGGTCAGCCGTCTGTCCTTTGAGGAGGCAGCAGGATGTGCCATGTGGCCAGAGCAGGCTCCTGCCCATCGTCATGTGTGTGGCAGTGTCAGGGCTGTATGTCCTCACAGGCCCTCAGCTCAGAGGTGCTGTGACCTGAGGGACAGCTCAGGGGTTCAAAGGGGCCACAGTTTTCAGGCTGGTCCTGGCATGGAGAGCCCAGCGAGGCCTCCCGTGTCCTTGCCCTTCTTCCTTTCACCCGGCCAAAGGTATTCCGATGTGAGGAAGTCTGGGGAACACGGTGTGAGGGTCCTGTGCCTGCTCTGTCCTGGACACCTCCAGCCTGCCTGATGCCAATGGGCCCCAGCCCTGGAGCACGCTGCCTTGTGACTCTGAACCTAAGTCCCAGGGAGAAGGACCCCTTTCCACCAGGGGGTAGGGGCTGCTGTGCGGGCGCCGGGGCGGGCTGAGTCCCGAGGACGGCCGCCTAGTCACTGAGGCATCTCCTGCACTGCAGGCCTCCAGAGGCCCTCCCTGGCCATCCCAGCATTCTGGATCCTCTTTCCTTGCTTTATTTTTTTTCTCCTAGTTTTTGTAACCAGGGTGACCAGGAGTACCTGGAATGGCTCGTGTAACACAGCAGGGGCTCGATAGCCGGACAGGGCACCAGCCTCCCTCACCCAGCTCCTGGACACTCCCAGAGCAGGTGGGCAAGCCCAGGCCACAGCGTCAGGAGATGCAGTGCGGCCAGCAGCACGTGCCTGAGCCCCAGCTCCTGCAGCCGAGCCTGAGGGGTGCAGAGTTCTGTGCGGGGACCCCTGGTCTGCAGGGCCCTCCCAGAAAACAAAGGCCTGGCCCTGGACTCTGGTCTGGGGCAGGTCTGAGTGTGTCTTGAGCCCTGGACAGTGGGTGGGTGTCAGGCAGGCTGAAGCTGGGCGCAGGCGAGGTGGGGAGGGAGCAGCCGGTGCTCAGGGTCACTCAGATGCTGGCCGAGGGACATGCACCCTCCTGACGCTGCCAGGAGGGAGGTCTCCCAGTGAAGTCCCATGTTGGACAGGAGGCCTGGCTCTTTCTCAGCACAGCCCTGCCCACCGCCTGCTCCATGACCTACCCCCAGAGCTCCAGGCCAGGGTTCCAGTCCTGGCTCAGGTTGGGATGTGGGCCGCAGCCCTGTTGTCTTCCCTGAGCCTCCGCCTCCTCTTTTCTGAACCTGTACCCCCACTCCGAGCCCCAACCTAATAGCCTTGGAAGCCTCACCCTGAGCAAGTCCCCACGCAGGTCACAGGCTGCGCCCCAGCCCTGGGGCAGGACGCAGGCTCTGTGCCAAAGGCTTCCCCGCCAAGGGCAGGAGGCAAGTGTGGGTGGAGTCCTCCCTCGGGCCCAGGAACCCAGGTGCCTGTGGATGCTGGTGAGGCACAGCTTGTCCCAGAAAGAAGCCCCGGGAGGTGTGATGGACACCCCAGAGCGGGAAGGGGCTGAGGTTCAGGGTTGGGGGAGGCCACCTGTCCCCAGGCGCCCTGCTGCGGTGTTTGAATGCTGTATGGTGGGTGTGCAGCCCTAAAACAGACGTTGGAACATGTGGGTGCTCAAATCAGGCCAAAAGGAGGCGTGGGAACGTGGACGCAGCAGCCCCCGCCCCGGGGACCCTCTCCTTCCTGTGAACTTTCCAGGTCCGTCCTCCTAGCAGGGAGGGGTCATGGATGAACAAGACAGCTCAGAGAGGCCTGGCCACAGCTCCAGGCTGCACAGCAAGTGCGTGTCCTGGGAACCGCCCTCCCACCCTCTGCAGGGATGCCCTCCTTCCAGGTGCCAGGTGTTTGCTCCGGTCACGGAGGGGGCTGCAGCCCCCATGACCAGGGCCCATTCACAGTCACAGACCTGGTCCTGACACAGCCCGGATCCCATCCCGCCTGGGGTGCACAAGGACAGAGCCTCTCTCTGGCTTATCAGCAGGTGTTTATTAAGGGCCTACGCTGTGCTGGGGCTGCCACTGAGGGAGCCCCACGAATGTGAGGGCTGGCCCCTCCCTCCAGGCCACCAGGCCCCATCGCCGCAGACTCCCAGGACCCCACACCAACCCCTGTCCTCCAGCTCTGCTCCGTCTACTTCATCTCAGCCTTTGCCAGCCCTCCTGAGGGCCTGCCCCATGCTGGAGGGCCCGGGTCACGACCAGACCTGGCTCTGGTCATAGATGGGGTGGGCAGGGAAGGCTTCCTGGAGGAAGAGGTGCCTGAGCACAGGGTTAAGGGTGGGGAACACTGGGCCATGGAGACAGCAGCAGTGCGGATTGGAGGGGCCATCTGCAGGCTGATCTGTGTCGCTAGAGCCGGCATGCCAGGTGGGAGTCCTGGAAACAGCCATGGGAGGGTCAGGGTGGGGGACGGGGGTGGGAAGCAGAGGGACGTGGCCAGGCCTGTGTTAGGACGCGCCCTCAGGAACCAGGACAGGCTCCTACTGGGCCAGGTGTGTGAGAAGTGGCACAGGGGCCGGGGGCACCACACCCAGTGGGGGCCGCAGCAGGGCCTCCGGGAGCCTATAGCTGGCTGAGACCCCAGAGCAGCAGGCTGAGTGCGGTGAGCGGCGCCAGGGTGGCGGCAGCTGGCTGCAGGGCACAGGCCCCGCTGGCATTGCACAAGTCGGTGTCACAGCACGTGATGTTCTTCTTGCCCACATAGTAGTCCTGAGAGTCGTCCTCGCAGTGTGCGCTGCAGCCTTTGCTGATGACGGTCAGGAGGCCTACGGCGCCTGGGGAGCAGCGGACCCAGGGCTGGCGCTGTCCTGCGTGCCCACCCGCCCGCCCTGCCCACGCCGCCTCCTGTCCCCACCCTGCCTGAAGCTCTGGAGTCCCCCTGGGCTGCCTCAGGATCACAAGCAGTGCCAGGGCCTGGTCTTGGGCCTATCCCCATCCGGGGCAGGGCGACCGCCCGCTGAGCACCAGAACTGGTGTGAGCCAGCCAGCCCGCGCAGGGGTGGGGGAGGGACGGACGGTGGAGGAGGGTGGATGGTGGAGGGGGCTGGAGGGACAGATGCTGGGTGACAGGTGGGGGACAGGTGCGGGACGGGTGGGGGATGACTGGAAGGAAGACGGGGCGTAGGTGTGGGGAGATGGCCAGAAGGCCGAATGCTTCAGTGGCAGAGACCTAAGCCGGGCTCGCGCCCCACACTCACGGATGCGCTCCGTCCAGCAGTGCGTCTCCGACTCGGTGCAGTTGTGCACCTGCAGGCAGTTCTCGTTGCTCACCTGGCCCCTGCAGGTGTAGCACTGCAGGGCGGAGCCTGCGGGGTGTGTGGGAGAAGCCTCAGAGGCTGACCCCAGCACTCCCCAGAGGGGGACTCCCAGCCGGGGCCTGCCAGCCTCATCTTCTCTGCAGGGCGGAGGGCGAGGCCGACAGCAGGGTCTGGGCCCTTCTGGAGAGCGCACACTGTGTGCTCGGACAGGCCTGTGCAGGGCACGAACTTCACACCCCCCTAGGGTGTCCGGCAGCTGCCATCTATGCCCCAGCCCCCTGCTTGCCAGGGTAAAGCGTTGTGAAAACGCCCATGCTCCTGAGAGAGGAGGGCTCACCCCACTTGCCAGGGGCCCAGCTGGACACTTGGAGACGGGATGGATGAAGCTTTTCCGTGACTTCCTCAGGCCACCACCATGGAGGCCCACATGGCCTTGTCCCCAGCAGCCTGTCTAGGCTATAGCCCGAGCTCTCGGCCTCTCTCAGGCCTCCCGGGTCAGGTCTTGCTCTGTCCCTGGGGTGGCCCTGCTGTGAGGTGGTCATGGCCACTGGCTTCGCCTGTGCAGGCAGGCGTCTCCACAGTCCTGGGAGCCCTCTCCTCGCCCTCAATTCCCCCTGAAGATGCTCTCAGGGCCCTCGTCAGTGCCTCCGAAATGTTGCCCTGTTTAGCCCCTCGGTGGCTGCGTTGGTGACCCTGCTTTCCAGAAGAGGAAGCTGCGGCCATGGGGGTGACTGACCCCGGGACCCTGGGCTGGGAGGAACCCACACCGAGCAGAGCCAGTAGCCCCCTGGGACCCTTGGAGGCTGCAATGCTGGGGCTGGGCTGGGGGCAGACTCCTGGGTCCTCTCAGGACACCCCCAGCACCTCCCCTCATGCCCTCAAAGGGACTTCATAGCCTGAAGCTTCCTGCCCCTGTGCCTCCTGGCTCCTCATTGGCATCTCTGTCCATCCGTCAGTCTATCTGCACCCCAGGAGCCAGGCCCTGACCCATGGTGTTGAAGGAATGTGACTCCATGCTGCCCCTGTAAGCCCCGGTCACTGGGATGGCGGGGAACACAGGTCACTGCCTGGTTGTGCCAGGAGCTGCCCTGGAGGAGTGGAGGCTGCAGTGAGAGCCTCACGCCTCCTCTCCCTGAGTGCCTCCCGGACTCACCCCTGCTCCCTTCCCTGCTGGGGGCCAGCCACGGCCTCACCTGGCTTCAGGGCCAAGCCTGCGACCAACACGGCGAGCAGCACAGCCTTCATGGTCACGGGTGGGCAGCGGCGGAGTGGGCCTCGGGTGGCTTTATATGCCTCAGCCGGGGAGAGGCTGGACTGCCCACAGTCAACACCCGCGGGCTCCCTGGAGCCAGTGAGGGCCCGGGCTGGGCAGGTCCCGTCTCCCCCCTGAGCCTGCGCCTCCCTCTCCCTTCGTCCTTTACACCTCCAGAGGCAGAGGCTGCCCAGGCCCAGGGCTCAGCAGGCCCCTGCTGAGGGCTGAAACCTCCTCAGCTCCCGACGACAGCCCTCCTGCCTCCCCTGCCTCACAGCGCAGGGCCAGATCAGGGAGACCCTTTCTCCAGGCTCCTGCAGGCCTCGGCCTTCCAGCCAAGGACGAGGCACCTCCCCGGGCCCTGTGTCCTGCAGACACTGTGCTGCCCTCCCGGGGCCCATGGCCCATGGGGTGAGGAGCCTCGGTCACGGCGTCACAGACAGATCAGCAGCAGGTGCTGCCAGGGAGAGGGGCCGGGCTGTTCCAGTTGTGAAGCAAAGGCCACATTCGAAGGGCCCCCATCTGAGTGGACCCCTCCTCACGGCCAGGGCTTTCCAAAGTGAGCCTGAAAAACCGGTTCAGGCCGTGACAGCAAAGGGCGGGACAGCCTCATGACCCCTCCCTTCATAACTCAGAAAGAGCCAGCGTTACCAGCGGGGACCTGCAGCCTGATGAGAGCCACTGCCCATCTATTTTCTCGGAGGCCTGCTACCTGGAGGCTTCATCTGACGCCAAACCCTTGGTCTCCACAGCCCCTGATAGCCCAGACGTGCCTTTCTGTTGATAACTCTTGCTACCAGCTGTCACTCAGAAAATGTTAAATTCACCTGTCACCTGGAAACCCCTGTTCGAGCAGTCCTGCCTTTCTGAACCAAATCAATGTGGATCTTAAATGTACGTGATTCCTGCCTCATGTCTCCTTAAAATGTATCAAATCGAGCTGGGCCCTGACCACCTCGGGCACCTGTCCTCAGGTCTCCTGGGGGGTGTGTCACAGGCCATGGGCCTCAGATTCGGCTCAGAATAAATGTCTTCAAATATTCTACAGAGTTTGGCTCTTTGTTGACACAGGGGACACCCCCCCCCGGGGAGGGGACACCCTCCCCGGGGAGGGGACACCCCCCCCGGGGAGGGGACACCCCCCCCGGGGAGGGGACACCCCCCCCGGGGAGGGGACACTGTTGGACAGGCTCTCACTTAGGGGGCATTGGGTGTGGGACCTGGGCTAGGCGCTCTACCCTCAGGACCTTGAGTGATCCTAGCTTGGAACGCTAGCTGCAGGGAGTTGGGAAGTGCAGCTTTTAGCAGCCTCTGCAATAGCGGGAGCAGGGGCGGCGCCCAGGGCTGGAGGGCCTCTGCGCCAGGTCCCCTCCCTCCTGCTCCATGGTCCCGGGAGGCTGGTCCGGCTGCCACGGGCAGGAGGTGAGAGGGTGGAAGAGACAGGGTTAGGGTGGCTCTCCTGCCAGCTGGCTGGGGGGTGGTGGCAGTGGTTTGGGGGACATCAGCTCCCACTGTCTCACCGTGAGTCTGGGATCCAGGTAACGCTACTGATGGGGGCAGGGACGATGTGACACCCGACCTCCCTGGGACTCAGTGGCACCAGGAATCTCCCTTTGGGCTTCCCCTGGGACTCAGGTCGGCCCCTGTCCCTCCGGGGCCACTCCTGCCCGGCTCGCTGGCACCTGTGGGGTTGGGCTCTTTTCCATGGAAATTGTCTCTTCTCTGGCAAGTGAAGAGTCTGGGCCTGAGAGGAATAGGCCTTACTGGAGGCCATGCAGGGTGACTGTGGTCTCCTCAAGGCCCCTCCTTGCTCAGTCTGCCCACCCAGAGCTTCCCCTCTGGACACGCCCTCCGGCCCATGTCCTGTGAGCTCAGAATAAGGGCCTCACCTGGTAATTAACTGCTTCCATGTGTGGCTGACTGCTTCTGTCCCATCCTCCCTCTACCCCTGGCCCCAGCTCGCCAGGACCCTGGCCACTCCTGCCCAAGAGGTTTTCTTATCTGTCTCTGTATTCAAGGTGCCAGCCTGGAACTTTCCGTCCTCAAATATGTACAGGTGTGTAAGTGTTTGCTGATCTGATTTGATATACAGCGATTTCTGTAAGGCAGTGGTTCTCACGTGGGTGACTCTCCACTCCCAGGGAATGTTTGGTGATGTCAAGAGGCATCTCTGCTTGTTCCAGCTGAGGGGTGCTGCTGGCCTGTAGTGGGTGCAGGCCAAGGAGGGGCAGCACGCAGGACCCCCACCACAGAATCCGCCGGCCCAGACATCAGGCATGCTGAGGGTGAGGCTGGTCTCAGGATGGCCTCATGGCCACAGCGCACATACAGAAGACCATGGCTGTGACATTCCTAGAGCCCCACCCCTGATCACAGGTTGGGTTCCGAACTCAGCTCCAAACTGAGCCCTCACTGTGGTCAGTCTGAACTCTAACCCTGGTTACCTAACAAGGCCTGGTTATGGTCCCACCCTGAGTCCTAAGACTAGCCACACCCTGAGCCCTGGCCTGGGCCACTGACTGAGCCCTGATCCCAGTCACAGAATGAACCCTGACCATGGTCACACACTGAGCCCTGATCCTGATCACACTCAGTCCCTGGCTCTGGCCACTGACACCCTTGATCCCAGTCACAGAATGAACCCTGACTGTGGTCACACAATGAGCCCTGATCCTGATCACACTCAGTCCCTGGCTCTGGCTACTGACCGAGCCCTGATCCCGGTCACAGAATGAACCCTGACTGTGGTCACACACTGAGCCCTGATCCTGATCACACTCAGTCCCTGGCTCTGGCTACTGACCGAGCCCTGATCCCGGTCACAGAATGAACCCTGATTGTGGTCACACGCCGAGCCCTGATCCTGATCACACTCAGTCCCTGGCTCTGGCTACTGACCGAGCCCTGATCCCGGTCACAGAATGAACCCTGATTGTGGTCACACACCGAGCCCTGATCCTGATCACACTCAGTCCCTGGCTCTGGCCACTGACAGCCCTGATCCCGGTCACAGAATGAACCCTGACTACAGTCACCCTCTGATTTTTCACCCTGGTCACAGGCTAATCCCTGCCCCATTGTTCACACTTTGGCCGTATACTGAATGCAGCCCCGGAGCCTAAACGGAGCCTGGATCTTCTGGCAGTTCTCCTGCCTGGGAAGTTCTGCCACAAGGGGCATGGCTCTCCACAGAGCCCCATGCAGTGGACAGGGGCCGAGAGGTTGATGTGAGTCATAAAACTCCAGTCTCCAGTTCAGACGGCTCTGTGTGAGTTAAACTCTTTCTCTGTTGCAATTCCCCTGACTTGATAAATCGGCTCTGTTTGGGCAGGGGTTGAAATGAACCCACTGTGTGATGACACACTAGTACATTTTCTTCCTTCTCTTCCGCTCTTTCTGACTCTCCCAAGGGCCACGATGGACTTGGTCCTTGAGAAGAGGCACAAGGCTCCCTGAGTAATGGTAGATGCAGCTGGGGGAGCCCCATGCATCTTGAGGATCAGGCCCCAAGATGCATGGGGCTCCCTCCAGACAGGCCAATTCCCACTGCCCACCAGCACTGCCCAAGTCCTGGGAGACCATGTGATCCCAGGTCCCTGAGGTGGTAGCAGGGTCACGCACCAGGGATGGAGCCAGCCTTCCTGGGGAGACTTTGCTGTCCCAGGCGACCCTGCCACAGGAGCTCCACTCCCATCCAGTGGCCCTAGGTTCCAGTCCAGCCATGCACGTGCTATGCTTGGTGACTCGGTCTCCTCCTCTGTGAAACATCTGACTTTAGCAGGCCCAAATTCCCGCCCCACAGAATCAAGTGCCATAAGAATGGTGAGTGTAGCTTCCGTGTGACTCACCCTTGGCCTCCTTCCTCTGCTCTGCAGTCACCTCTTGGGACTCCAGATTTTCCTGTTCACTCTTGACCTTTCGCCTACCCACCCCACGACCATGGGCCCAAAGCAGCTGGGTTCCCCAGAGATCTTGCCTTCCACCCAGTGCAGGGGTGAGGCCAGGGTTAGGGCAGCCGAATCAGGCCCTGGGGCTTCTGGGAGCCAACTCACCTTGTGGGGAGTCCCACCACCACCTCCCGGGGCCTCACACAGTCCCATGCAGTAACACACATCCCTGTGTGTAAATGTTTTTATTTCATGCAGCGTTAATTAAAAAAAATAAAGCTAGCATGTCACTTGCAAAGCCATGCTGGGGTCAGCTTGCAGCATCTTTTCTTTGGAAAAACGCCCTTGCAAATCAGGAGGAAAACCCACTAGAGCTCAGATCACGGGGTGGCGGGGGCACTGAGTGCCAGGCTCAGATCATGGGGTGGTAGGGGCACTGAGTGCCAGGCTCAGATCGTGGGGTGGCAGGGGCACTGAGTGCCAGGCTCAGATCATGGGGTGATGGGGGCACTGAGTGCCAGGCTCAGATCATGGGGTGGTGGGGGCACTGAGTGCCAGGCTCAGATCGTGGGGTGATGGGGGCACTGAGTGCCAGGCTCAGATCACGGGGTGGCGGGGGCACTGAGTGCCAGGCTCAGATCATGGGGTGGTGGGGGCACTGAGTGCCAGGCTCAGATCATGGGGTGGCGGGGGGCACTGAGTGCCAGGCTCAGATCACAGGGTGGAGAGGGCACTGAGTGCCAGGCTCAGATCATGGGGTGATGGGGGCACTGAGTGCCAGGCTCAGATCGTGGGGTGGCAGGGGCACTGAGTGCCAAGCCCCCATTTGGGTTCTGGAAACTAAGGCCATGACTTGCAGGCTGTGTGTGTGACATGTGACTGTGAGGGTTTGTACATGCAAACTATGTGAGCATGGGTGCGTGCCCTGTGAGACAGGATGCATGTCTGTGGCATGTGTGTAAATGTGAGTGTGGGTGTGTGCAGTGTGTGTTGTGTGATCAAAAGCATGTGTGTAAATGTGAGTGTGTGTTGAGGCCATCGAGTCTCGAGGCTGGGCAGCCTGGAACCCCTCAGAGCGGTTTCCCCCAAGCCCACCCAGGTGGGGTCCACAGGCCCTCCCCATTTCTAACTCCCCCAGGGCCCTGCATTCCCAGAGGAGGTGCCTCTTCCTGGCTGTCACAAAGGTGCCATCAGGGCCTGGCCCCAAACCACTTCCTCTCCTGCCTGGGCACCAACGTGGAGATGGGTACTGCCCCAGCCCCTGCCCCACCAGCCATGCCCCTTGACTTCCAGTGCCTCTCAGAACTGCCCCCCTCTCTGCACCCTCTGTTCGTGCCACTTCCTCCTCCTGGAGTGAACTCAGCAGAGGAGACGCCAGGCACACCCTTCCCTGCCAGCTGGGCATAGCTTCCCCAGCACCCTCAGCCACCCCTGCTGTGAGAGAGCTGTCATCCAGAGACCTCCAGAGAGAGGGCCATCTGGGACTGCCCCCACCTGAGGCCCCTGGAACCTGAGCAAAGGGCACTGTGGGTGCAGGCCCACCTCCAGACAGAGGGGACAGCAGGGGCGGGGGGCGGCCCACGGGCTTGGGAGAGGACAGTGAAGGGTTAGATCTGGTGTGGCCTTGTGGCCCAGTGAGGACCTGAGCAGTATTC